GATAATTGACTACATCGATCTAATTTGAGTAATAAGTCAAAATGAAATGAAATAATATTCATACTATATACATCCTTCAACCTTGGGTCATATGATGCAATTCAAAATATATGTCAAATTATGGACCTTGTGATCTCAAAGTCATCACGAGTCTGTCTGCTACTGTGCTACAATTACAAATGACATATATTTTAAATACATGAAATTTAATTTCCAAACATCTAAAAATTTATGTGGCTGTTAATTACGATTGAACGGAATAATTATTAACGTTACTAAATACTCGTATTTTTAATTTAAGGTGGAGAAATGTCAAGTGTGGAGGGACTAGTAGATGACATCCATAGCATGTGTATCAATGTGTGTCAAAAACGACCATCCATCTATAGAGTTCCCGAACATCTTCGAAAGCTCAATGAAAATGCATACACACCTTGGCACGTCGCAGTCGGCCCTTATCACCATAGAAGTCACAAATATACAATTATGGAGGAACACAAGATGGTTTATACCAAGGCTTTGATTTGTCGTCGTAGGGCTGCTAACAACAATGCTCAAGTAAACAAAGAGGAGATTGATGAATATGTTAAGGAGGTCGAGAGACTTGAAACAAAATCGCGGTTAAATTATGCTGAAAAGATTGAGTTTAGCAAGGAAGAATTTGTTAAAATGTTGCTTATTGATGGGTGCTTCATAGTCGAATTCCTCTGTAGAAAAATAAAAATATTGGCCAAGTTCGAGGATGAAGCTATGAAAAACTATGATCAAATGTATAAATTTATCAACATGACCTACAATGAAGTGAACTTGAAGAATGATTTTATACTAAAAAGTACAAGAACAGCTTTTGAGGTTAGACGTGATCTTACTTTGTTGGAGAATCAACTTCCTTACTTTGTCCTAGAGAAATTGTTCGATTTCACATTTTCGAGTAAACCAAATAGGCCAAACTTCAAGGCGATTGTGTATTGTGCATTTAGAACCTCGATTCCTAACATTTCACACATCCTAAATGAAGAGGATATTGCTCAAAGAATTCAACTAGAGCCTGAGACTACCGCGCATTTTGTTAGTTTCTTAAAGAGTTGTTGCGGTCCTTCAGTAGGACACGACGAGGCTGAGGCTGAGGCTGAGGCAGGGGATTATTTCACAGCAGACGCAAACATTATGGTTGATGAACAAAGGATAAGTATAAATAATGCACAAGATGAAAATAAGAAGATAGAATTCCCTTGTTTATGTAACATGAAAACACACGAAATTCGTGTTCCTAGTGCAAGTGTACTAGCTAAATCAGGGGTCTTGTTTACGAAAATGGATGGTTAAACTCCGATGTTGCACATGAACTTCGATCCCAAAAATGGTGTGTTAAAATTACCTGTTCTGATACTGTGGCATCACACCGAAACATTCTTTAGAAATATAATGGCATACGAGCTCTACAATCATACCGCGAATTACAGCAAAAATGTATGAGTCAGTGACTACATGTGCTTCATGGATGACTTGATCAACTCTAAAGAAGATGTCGCGGTACTAGTGAAGAGTGGGATCATTCAGAACTGGTTGGAATCGGATGAAGTTGTAACAGACTTGTTTAACTCAATTACGAAACACATATTGGCAGACTATTCATCCTATTCTGATACATGTAAACAGATGAATGAGTTTCGTAACAAGTTTAATGTACGTCAATTGAAAGCAGTCCTTAAACAGGACTATTTCAATCAACCATGGGCTGTTGTTTACTTCATCACTGGAGTTATCATTCAAACAACCTCCTCCATTATCGAGGCTGTTACTAGTGTTCAGGACTCTAAACGACATCCTTCGTAAACCAGGCCATATACTTGATTAGTACGGATGACTACCATAGAATTTTAATATACGTATGAGTACTTGTGAAAGAATTTTATTTGCTACCATTTAATTTGTGTATCTTGTATCGTCTGAGGTTTGAGCTAAGAATCTGTATCCCATGGATGATGTACGAGTTAATGTTCCTAAAAATATTGATTACTTTGTACTCTCTTTGATCCTGTTAATGAAAAGTTTGTAGTTACAAGTTGTGTACCCTGTTATAGATAGATTAAAAGTTGGACACAAACTTTTTTATGTCTCCCTTTCTTCTTGACTTATATAATAAAGATAGATTTAACTTAATAAACACAATTAAACCCTCTAATTAATGTATATTGGATTGAGTAATATTTTTATAGAATTGAAAAGTATAACACACCCATATACTTGTATCTTGATTGGTTCAACCTAATATAATTAGCAACTAGGCACTAATGTATGTTCATAATGGAATCTTTATATTGTAATTTTTTATTTTTTTTGGTGTTTAGAGAGCCACAAAGGCGGGTGATGAGAATCGATCCTAGGATCACCTGGGACCAGGAGGGGAGCTCTAACCACTTGAGCTATCCCCCCCTCTCATCTTTATATTGTAATTGAAATGTCGTTATTGAGGATTGAGTTGTATTTTTATGGAAAGTATTATAATCATAATTTGATAGGTTCAAACTGCGTGCTCAAGCTGTTTAAGTTTGCAACTAGACAATAATATACAGTACGGAGTATTGTTTAATTAACATGTATTAGGAGTTGAACCGAAAATAGAATCAACTACCTTAAAATACAGGTACAAACATTATTTTCTTAAAAAAAAAAGTACAACATTATTTGTTTTTTTGGGGGGAATAGATTTTAGTGCCAACTCTACAACTCAATTTACTCAAAATACATGTTAGGTGTATTAGTAAAGCTCTAAATAACACAGCACAGTCGGCAGAACAACTCCATTAGTTGCATGCTTCATGCTTAATTATTACTTGTATTAAGAAATTAGGATTAAAAATGAAATAATTTGAAGTTTAATCAGTCAAATTTAACTAGGTCAGTCTCCAAATAGAAGCTTCGCTGAAACTCCGATCCCCTACGTCAAACGAAAATGGAAGTAGTCTACAGAATTCATTATTTTTGAGAGGTTTACTACTTATTATGAAATGAAGGAGTATTATAACTGAAAGAGGAATTGTTAGGAAAATAATATTATATCGTGTGAATTGAAACTAATTGTCTTATTAGATTTGATATCTATATAAAATACTCTCTCCGTCCTTTTATCAAAGTCTCATTTCTAACATTTATTATTCACATAATAAAGAGAAATAAAACTTTAATAAAAGGACGGAAGAAGTATAACATATAACTAGCTTTTTGGCCCGTTTAATGCACGAGTTGTTTCTTAGGTTAATTATTTTCATATGTAGGAAGATTGTTTCATTTCTAAACTTAAAAGAAAAAAAGAGAAAGGGTAGAACCGTGAAAGAAGATGAATGAATTTAGTTAGACATATACACGTGAAGATTGTGGGATATAAAATGACATATTATTTTAAATTATATTTAAAGTCTAGGAGATGAAAAGACAATTTTTATTATAATTTATATGTTTATGTAATGTGTATTAATTAAAACATTATTTTATTATGGTGGAAATGAAACACTTCATTTTCTTACTTGAATTTACAAGTTGTATAATACATAAAGATTTAAACATAAATATAAAGAGAGATGACATGTGGCATATAGGGTGAATAGTGATTTGTGAATTGTGATGCCATGTGTAAAATTTGTGATTTGTGTTTTTAAATACTAAGTATAGAAGTATAGATTCTCTAGTCTACTCCTCCAATGACCAATTGGATATTTGGATATGTGATGCATAACCCTAGCTACTAGACTTTTAGCCTGTACATTCTCCCTACTCCTATTGTTAGTATTTATTGTGAAATTTTAGCCAAATAATGACAACAGGCAACTTTAATCCAAAAGTTAACAAAACAACAAAACTTTTATCTCCCTACTAAGTGTTGATACTTTATTTTAATATGGAGTACTTATATGTCATTTCATGCATTCAAGTAACTAAACAACCACAAGATATAAGCTAATTTCACCAAACAATTTTGTACAAACACCTCTTATAGTTAATCAAAGCAAATAATTGAGGGAGGTAATCAAACCAGCCAATGCACGATCTGAGCAACCAACTACCCGTCAAGTAAAAAAAAGGCAAGCTAAAGAAAAATTGTTAAAATTAGAAAATTATGGGTCTGTTCACTTCAGCTTAATTTCAATTCAGTTCAGCTCTGAATTTTCTTCTCTCATAAAATATTCATTTCACTTATATTCACTTCAATTCAGTTCAGCTTTAATCAGTTCAGTTCATTCAGCTCAGTAAATGTAAACAGGCCCTAAGTATGTCTGTGAATTGAGACTAATTGTTTTAAATTGAAGAAATATAGAAAATTAAAACCAGGCCATGGAGTATATACTATACATGCAATTCTCTAGTCTACTCCCTAATGACCACTTATTGGATATTAACCCTAGCTACCATACTAGAGTAACTAGATTAGGCCCCGTTCACTTCATCTTATTTTTGCTGAAGTGAAATTATTTTTACTAAATTGAAATTATTTTTGCTGAACTTAAATTATTTTTACGGAAATGAAATTAATTTTACTGAACTAAAATTATTTTTGTTAAACTGAAATTATTTTTACTGTTTTCTATTATATTTCTTCTTTAAAGTTATTAATTTTTACTGAATTCAAATTATTTTTATTGAATTTTATTTTTTTAAGGTAAAGTGAACATGGCCTTTACTTGTATGAAGTACATGGTTTCAAGGACCAATATAATTAATATAAACATACTCAATTCCTAGTCTTATTAATAGGTATTTATAGGAATTCAACAAGATTGCATAATGACTATTTTTTTCCTCCAAAAACTTAATTGAGATTATATAGTGTGTGATATTATACTAACTAGTATGAGAATTTTCTGCGCATATTCTAGATATATCAACCTTATACAAAGTATTCTCTTATCAACTCCATCACCATCATTCTTATGTATTTAATACAGTGCGTACTTAGTCGATTGAAGCAATAAAGTAATTAAGGAAGAATTTTTCAAGGTGGTAGCTTAGAATCAAAGAGAAGATTAAAATAAAATAAGAGGGGTGAGGAAATCTCGAGGAAAGTGAGAAAGAAAAGGCCAAAAGAGATTCAAAGAACTCTCTTATAAAAACGACTAATAGAAAGGTAAGGCATGTCCAAATACAAGTATTTATACACAAAAGAGCAATTGAGCTCCAATTTCTTTTCAACAATAAATATACTTCCCTTTTTTTTTTTCTCTATTAGATTTGCTCAATTGTTGTTAAAAAAAAAAAAAAAAAAAAAAAAAAAAAAAAAAAAAAAAAAAGATTTGCTCAATCTATTGGTAGAGTCATAGAAACAATAATTTCCTATCTTTATACACACTTTTTCAAAACAACATACGGAGTAATACGCAGTATGGTACAAATTATCCAATAATATATTAGAAAATCTTATCTTGTATTTTGACCCGACCCGATCCATTGGTAGAGTCATAGAAACAATAATTTCCTATATGTTTTAAAAAAAAATCAATAAATTCCTATTTTTATACACACTTTTTCAAAACAATATACTGAGTAATACACAGTATGGTACAAATTATCCAATACGAGTAATATATTAGAAAACCTTATCTTGTATTTTGACTCGATCCGAGTCCAAAAATAAGTTAAAAGATCAGGAAAACTACATATATACAGAATTTAAAAACATTTGTTGCTTATTAGACTTTTTTTTTTTTTTCTTTTTTTTTGGGAGGAAATTTGATTCTATAGCTGTATTCATTTTTTATACGTAGTATATATTTTTTTTTCTCTGATTTCCATCTAATTTAACATTTTACCAGAATAAAGAAGTGTAAATTATAATACTTTAGTATCTGATTTTTTAATTACTATCATTATTTTTGTAATAATCAGTAAGTGTGGGATGTATAGAGTCGTAAATTAGTATGAAAAATGTGCTGCTAATTTCTCACTAATTATGTATGGTTTTATGAAAATACTAACATAAGGATCGGATGAGTCTATTTATATCTTTCTTAAAGATCTGATTTATTTTTTATGAACAGCTAGATCGAGTTTATGACCAGTTTAACCACTTCTCTGCCATCAGTTCGATCTGCAATCACATACAAACAGCAGTGGTTAATCGTGGCTAGAAAAACTCGACGAAAGGGCTGAGCAAACCACAATATAATGCAAGCAATCAAGCTCATCAATAAGGACTTCCCTGGTAATAATGTTGGTTTCAAATCTAATTTCAAATTACTGCTAAGGCCCCGTTCACTTCACCTTATTTTTTCTGAACTGAAACTATTTTTACTGAACTAAAATTATTTTTATTAATTCTTTGTTCTTTAAAGTTATTGATTTTTATTGAAATGAAATTATTTTTACTGAACTGAAATAATTGTAAGGTGATATGGACATGGGCTAAGTTATATTTGCAGGCGTTGTTATGTAAATTAAATTTGATATTTGTAATGATATTCCCATGCTAATAAAGCAATAATTTTATGTTAGCAGGAGAAACATCTAAGCCAAGTTTGGCACTACTCATTAATGCAGCGTGTACAAAATTATTTGTTAAACAACCATGTATTTTCAGAGTTCCTGAACATTTAAGGAGACTGAATGAAAATGCATACACTCCTTTTCATGTCTCAATTGGTCCTTTTCACCACAGAGATGACAAGTATAGTGTCATGGAGGAACATAAGTTGGTATACGCAAGGGATTTGATCAGACGACGTTTTTGGGGCTCGAAAACCAGCAATGTTAGTGATCAGAAAGGAAAGGTAACTACACTTGAAGAAGAGATAAAAGTTTATGTCGAGGAGGTGGAGAAGCTTGAAGTTGAGGCGCGCAAAAGCTATGCTGAAAGCATAAAGCTTAGCAAGGAAGAGTTTGTTGACATGCTACTTATCGATGGGTGCTTCATAGTTGAGTTCCTATGTAGGAAGATCCGAAAGCTGTCATACTTGGAAATTGAAATGGAATCGACAAGTAAAGAGCTAGGAGAAACAACAAGAGCTTGTGAATCGACGAAAGTAGGGGGAACGTTTAATGGGATGTATAAATTCATTGAGGAAGTTTATGAAGATTGGGAGCCTGCAAATGATTTTATATTTCAAAGCACGAGAACATCCTTTGAAGTTCGACGTGACCTTACTTTGCTAGAGAATCAACTTCCATATTTTGTCCTTGAACACATATTTGAGTTCACATTTTCAAAGGCTATTGAAGAATTCCTGAAAAATCAAGTTTTTAGTTCAGAAGATGTACCAAAATTTCATGACATTGTTTATTGTGCATTAAGGACGTCGATTCCTAATACAACACACGTCTTAACTAGAGAGGATGTCGATCTAAGAACAAAAAATCCTGAAATGACTGCTCATTTTGTTAGTTTTCTAAGGATGTGCTGTCTACCACCTCAAATCATCTCAGGCAAAGTGAAAAAGGCAGAGCAAAGTGGTGTTTTCACATCAGATGAAAGACATAACACAAAAACAGCGAAAAAAATCACTGCAGACCAGGTCCAAGATGAGGAAAGCACTTCCTCAGGAGCCAAACAGGAACAAAGGATAAACATCAAGCATATGAGAGAGTTTCCATGTCTTTGCAACATGGAAACACCACATGACATTCGAGTTCCAAGTGTAACTCGACTTGCAAAAGCCGGTGTTCTGTTTGAGAAATCATGTAGTGAAACTCCACTGCTGGAGATAAAGTTTGACAGTAAGCGAGGGGTATTGAAGATGCCACCTCTGACAATGTGGCATCACACCGAAACATTTTTCAGGAACGTCATGGCACATGAGCTGTACAATCATACAGCTAACAGTGGGAGCAGATCAGTTAGCGACTATATGTGCTTCATGGACGACCTGATCAATTCCAAAGAAGATGTCGCGCTGCTTGTGAAGAGTAAAATTATTCAGAACTGGTTAGAGTCTGATGCAGTGGTAGCAGATCTGTTTAATTCTATCACAAAGCATATACTGGCAGACTATTCATCCTACTCAGACACCTGTATGCAGCTGAACAAGTTTCGCGGCAAGTATAATATACGTTGGTTGAAGGCAATCCTTCAACAAGAGTATTTCAGCCAACCATGGGCGATTGTATATTTCATCACTTTGGTGGTCATACAAACTGCTGCAGCCACCATACAGGCTGTCACTACTTTCACCTCTAAGAAGTAATAAATCATGCTTCTGTATTCAAGTTTTAAAACAAAAGTTAGTGTACATTCTTTAAAAGATTTCAGCCAGGATAAACTAAATCCTTGCAATCACTTTGCCTTTAGTTAATAAACAACAGTTAGTGCTAGCAGACATACAAAGTTATTCCAAAAAAATCAAACACTTAAAATTATTGTAACAAACTCAAATATACAATCTAGTTAGTATATATATTCATGTAATAGATGGAATCAGGAAACACTACTTGTAACTTATTCATCTCCACTGTCGTATTGACAGAGTGATTGGAGAGCCGCCGTATCTTCCTTTGAAACTGGTACTGGTTTCCTCACCACCATGAATTTGACTCTCTGAGCCGGAGCCATCAAGGTAGGTTGCTGCTTACCTTCTGAAGTTTCGTCGTCTTGAGTTAAAGTACTGATGGTCGTTGAAAGTTTGAGTTTCTTGACACTGAAATTATTTGGTATCTCATCACTGTCATCATCATCATGAATCTTAACTACCTCTTCTACTCATTATTTCTCTCTAGGGCCTGGAACTCAAAATTCTTAGGCCCAAAATACCCAAATTTATTTCCACTTTAATTTAGGAAAATTTGAAAAAAAAAAAAAAAAACCCTTTTAAAAGCTTTTTTGTTAAAAAAAATAATAAAAATAATTTACTCAACTGCTATTTGTCGCTCCCAATTTACCAGGTAACGCTCCCTTTTTGACTTGAATGGACCACTATGCCCTTTATGCAATTTGTGTTATAAAAAGGACCTTGTTCCCCATTTGGACACCATACATGAAACGGTCCCCTCACTTCACGACATTGCTGTCCCGAGCCTCCCAAAATCGGTCCCCACGGCCTTGCAACCAAATCGGTCCCCACGACCACCTAAATGTTCTATTTTTAAAAATCGTGAAATTTTCCGACGGGTCTTGGGTCATGGACGGCGAGTGGAACATACGTACGCCGGAGAATGCGTCGGATCATTCTGTAAGTTTTTATTTTTATTTTTTATTTTCGGTAATTAGGACATCCGCCTAAAATTTCCGGATGTCCTAGGTACATCCGCCTAAAATTTCCGGATGTACCATGGAACATCCGGAAATTTCAAGCGGAAGATGGGATCCGCCTAAAAAATCCGGATGTTCCATGGTACATCCGGAAATTTTAGACGGATGTACCAAGGGACATCCGGAAATTTTAGGCGGATGTCCCTATTCATATTTTTTTTAAAATGTTAAGTACGTTTATTTAATTTTTGTTATGTTTATTAAGTTTTTTTTTGATGTATTTTTTTTTCGTGGTCTTGTGATTATTGTTGTGATTTAGTATTTGATAATTAATGTAATTTTGTTGTATTAATATGATTATTAGTAATATGTTTATTTTTTGTTTCATTATTATTATTATTATTTATATTATTATTATTATTATTGAAAATATTATTATTATTATTATTATTGTTATTATTATTATTATTATTATTATTATTATTATCGTAGTTGTTGTTGTTGTTGTTGTTGTTGTTGATATTATTGTTGTTGTTGTTGTAGTTGATATTATTATTGTTGTTGTTGCTGTTATTTTTATTGTTGTTGTTGTTGATATTGTTATTATTAATTAGTAGAAATATAATTTTAATATTATTATTATTATTTATTAATTAATTAATGTTATGGTCTTATAAATTGTTTTGTAGTTGTTATTATAATTTTTTATTATCATTAATATTGTTATTGTTTTGTATTTGTTGTTATTGTTATTAGTATTGTTATTAGTATTGTTATTATTATTATTATTATTATTATTATTATTATTATTATTATTATTATTGTTTTTATTATTATTATAATTATAATAATAATAATTATTATTATTATTTTGACATAAAGCATGTTTTGTTTAATTTGTATAGGATATGGAATCTGAGGAAGGCGGTGACGGTGTAAATTATAGTGGTAATTTTGTCACCGATACGTTTTTTCCTACATTTGACGATGCAGTTACATGGGCTGATGGTGTTTCCATAAAATTGGGATTTATATTGGTGAAATCGTCTTATAACAAAACCAGAGATGGTCGGCCGTATCGGTATTTGCGATGTGATCGGTCACGAAGGAGCAAGCCGAGAGATTTGGAGAACGCGATACGGAAGGACACCAAAACCAAAGCTAATGGTTGTCCATTCTACATCAAGATATATTATGATGTGAGCACCGAAAGTTGGAAGATCATTGCGAAAAATGATCACACCGGGACACATAACCACCCAATGATTGTGTACCCAGAGGGTCACCGTAAAGTGAGCGGATTGAGTCCGGGTGCAAAACAGGTTGTGCAGGACATGACAAAGTCCAAGGTTGCTCCCCGTAACATCATGTCCACTATTGCCGAGCAATTTTCTGATGATCATCCAAACATCCGACACATTTACAATTGCCGAAATGACTTCAGGATGGAGATGTCTGAAGGAAGAGGAGTTGTTCAGCAATTTCTTCATCTGGCGAGAGAGAGTAAATACATTTACTGGGTCACGAACGATGATCACAACGTTTTGCAACATGCATTTATGGTGCACCCGATCATGGTCAACATACTTCGCACATACCCACATGTCATAGGTATGGATTCTACTTACAAGACCAATCGATATAACATACCTTTCTTTGAGGTTGTAGGCGTGACACCGACAAACCAGAAATTTCTAGTTGGATATGTTTTCATGCGCAACGAGTGCACGGCTAGTTATCGGTGGGTGTTGCAGAGATTAAGGGAGTTGATTGGGTTTGATATAGAGCCATCTGTATTTATTTCAGACCGTGATCTTGGGCTTTGTGCGGCTTTGAGAGAAGTCTTTCCAGGGACGTCACATTTACTCTGTCTATGGCACATCAACAGAGATGTGGAGGCTAAGGTGACGAAGATGTTTGGAAACAAGACGGTTGGTGTCAGTTTTAGAGCTGGGAGATGGTTCAAAATCATGAATGCAACAACACAGGCGAAGTATGATCGTGCTCTAACTGCCATGCAAGTGAGGTGGGGAAAATATCCGGAAGTGATTCAGTATGTTCAGAGAACATGGCTTTGTCATAAGGAGAAATTTGTGAAATTTTGGACGAACCAGATTCTTCGTTTTGGTAACACCACCAACTGCATAGTTGAGAGCCAACATTCAGCAGTGAAAACTTGGTTTGAATCATCCACAGGTTAGTTGTATGATTTTATTAGTTGTTCTCGTTGTTACGTAATTGTAATTGTATTTGAATTTACTAATTAGAATCATTGGCAGGTGCTTTGGATACCGTATGGGCCCGAGTCCATTGTCATATTGGTAATCGCATCATACAAATTCGTAATGAGTTGGAGGCATCAAGGTCTAAAATTGGTCAGATGTACAGACAGTTGCCACTGCCACGTATGAATGGCAAAGTGTCAACATTGCTTGAAAGTTCTGGATAAGGAGACGAAAAGGATGTGGGATTTGAGTTACCAGGTCCATGAACGGTGCGGATGTGCTATGCGTGTGACCCATGGTCTTCCATGTGCTTTCCAGATACATGATTCGATAGTTGCACAGGCAGGATTGTATAGCAGCCAAATTCATTCTTTCTGGAAGATACTGGTTATTGGTGATGGTGTTAACATTCTTGAAGTGGTAAATGATTCGACCGAGGAGGCTGCACATTTTCGGTCCCTAATCGACGAAGTCATGGAAAGTGACCCGGCCGTACGTCGAAATGTAACGCGAATCATTGAAGAGGAGCTACATCCAGATCATTCACACCTTGAAGAACCACATATCAACCTTAACACTCGTGGTCGACCGAAGAGAAATAACACTAGGCGTGATCGTAGCTATTTCGAGCATGTGAACCGTCAACACACTCAACGTGGTGGTGACCCAGAACCAGGTAATACTAAAATTCTATATTTAATATAAAAATATGTAAACTTAATACTTGTAGCTTTACTAATAATTTATCTTTTAATTTTGTGTTGTAGATCCAACTGACATTAGTCAATGCAGATATTTGAACTTGCTTCCAGCCCCAATGTTGCCGTACATTACGTTTTGGAAGGATGTCATCGGTGATGGGAACTGTGACTTTCGTTGTGTCGCTGACTTCTTCTTTGGCGATCAAAATCAGTGGATTGACGCTCGGGAAACAATAGCGAACGAGATCGCTGGTCATCCTGCTTTGTACGAACGGATTTACGGGCTTGGGCGACTTTGGATGAATGTGGAGCGTATTCGATGGGATGGTGGGGCTGTCGGGGAGCGACATTGGATGGTTACAATTCAAGATTTATTTCCTATTGCTACGTGGTTCAACGCAAGGGTGATTTGTCTCGGAGTAGGCCTAGTACCAACTTGCTACTACCCATGCATCACAGTCTTACCGCTTAGGGCACGCAATGGGGTTCGGTCACCGACTCGAGAGTTTGTGATTGCTACAGTTGGTGGATCACATTTTATCCGTCTTGACCTTGTACCTGATTCACCACTCCCGTCGATCGCCGGTTGGTGGACGGAACACCACGAGGATAGTGTCAATGGATGGGATCAAGCATATCAAGAGTCTTCGGGACACAACACTGAGGAGTGTATCCAACTGAAGGACCAGATAGAGGACATGGTCCGGAAGGGATACTTGAAAAAATACATCGCGGATCACCGCGAGAAAAAAGAATCCGAGAAGTCAGCAAAGGACTCTCGGCAAGACCTCGACTTCCCCCAGAAAAACAGTAAAAAGCCGGAGGGGAAATTCCCTCCGATCAATGTTATCTCGGGAGGAATATACTCTCGGAGGGAGCACAAGCGACACCTTAGAGCTTTGACTCACCAGGTGAACAACGCTGACATTCAATCTCCCCAGTCGCTGGTGCCGAACATGACATTCACAGCCGCCGACTGCCGGGGGATTACGTTCCCTCACGAGGATCCGTTGGTGATCATCGCCACGGTGGCCAACCACGACGTCAGTAAGGTCCTTGTTGACGGTGGCAGCGGAGCAAACATTCTGTTCCGAAAGGCCTACAATCAAATCAAGCTGAAGCCCAAGCATCTTACGCCGGTACCCTACCCGGTATCCGGGTTCAACGGGGCTTCAACTTATCCAGATGGGAAGGTGACACTTCCTGTCACCATCGGCTGCGATGAGGCAGCCAGGAACATCATGATTGAATTTTTGGTAATTGACGCTCCTTCAGTATACAACGTGATTTTGGGGAGACCCATAATTCACGAGATCCAAGGGGTCGTCTCAACTTATCATCAGCTGATGATTTACGTCTCAGACGCCGGCTTCCCCAAAAGGATACAGGGCAACCAAAAGGACGCCCGAAGGTGCAACTACCTCAAGCCATCCAGTAGCCGCCCAGATGACGACAAGGATGAGGAGGAGAAAGAAAAAGAAAGAGAGCCAAGCACAAAAAAGACGAAAGGCCTAAGTGCTTCGGCCCAAGGATCTGTACCTAGAGGTAAAGGGCCCGAAAGGGAAAAGGCTAGCTCTTCAGCCGAGCCGCAAGACTCAGAGAGCCAGCCGAAGAACAAAAAGACTGGGACACCTGCTGACAATTGCAGCAGGCCAGATTATGAAGAGTCCAGTCCATCAGCAATGGACATGGACCAACAGACTGAAACAATTGAGTTGACCGAAGGAGACGTTGAGAAATGTGTAACAATCGGGATGGACCTTGATCCGAACACCCGTTGTGAACTTATTCAGCTCCTTCGGGACAATAGAGATGTGTTTGCTTTCTCGGCAGCTGATATGCCCGGGATAAGTTCAGACCTCATCTCCCATAAGCTTAATGTTGACCCAACGTGTCGACCAGTTAAGCAAAAGAAGCGGAATTACTCCGCCAATAAGAACCGAGACATCGCAGCCGAGGTCAAAGGATTTCTATCCCTTGCCGAGGATCGATCAGCTAGTCGATTCGACAAGTGGCCATGCCTTGCTTAGTTTCATGGACGCATTCTCGGGGTATCATCAGATCTTTATGCACCCCGACGATCGAGCAAAGACAGCATTCGTCACGAACGCTGGGGTGTACAATTACAAAATGATGCCCTTCGGATTGAAAAATGCGAGGGCAACCTATCAAAGGCTGGTGGATCAAGTTTTTGCCGATCAAAAGGGCCGAAACATGGAAGTCTATGTTGACGATTCGATCGTCAAAAGCAAAAAACCAGAGGACCATGTAAAGGACCTGGCTGAAACTTTCGCCACCTTGAGAAAGCATCAAATGAAGCTGAATCCGAAGAAGTGTGTCTTCGGCGTGAAGTCAGGGAAATTCCTTGGGTTCATAGTCAGCAAAAGGGGGATTGATGCCAATCCCTCTAAAGTCAAAGCGGCGCTCGACCTTCCTGAGCCGAAAACGAAGTGGGATGTTCAGCGGCTCACCGGAAGAATGGCAGCCCTCTCAAGGTTCATTTCCAGAGCTTCGGATAAGGGGTTACCTTTCTTCAAAGCCCTGAAACTCCTGAAAACAAAAGAGCTCGTTTGGGAGGAAGAGAAAAAAGACGCCTTTAAACAGCTTCGGGAGCATCTGGCTCAACTCCCAACGCTGTCTAGCCCAGCTGAAGGAGAAACTTTGTACCTATATGTGGCCGTTAGCCCAGCCACCATCAGCGCAGTATCGCTGAAGGAAGAAAGTAAAAGTCAGCAGCCGATCTATTTTGTCAGTCATACACTGACGGATGCCGAGACTCGCTATCCTCTACTCGAGAAAGTCGCTTTCGCGGTAGTAGTAGCTGCTCGGAAGCTGAGGCCCTATTTTGATTTCCATCATATAGTGGTCTTAACTGATCAGCCGTTGGAAAAAGTTCTCGGCAAGGTTGAAAAATCTGGTAGGCTAGCCAAGTGGGCTTTTGAGCTCACCGAATTCAGCATCAGCTACCGTCCGAGGGCTGCCATTAAGGCTCAAGCTCTAGCGGATTTCTTGGCCGAATGCTCATACCAAGAAGCGCTAGACAGTGAAAAGAAAGTCTGGACCGTGTTTACGGATGGATCTTCCACCGAAAACGGTTCGGGGGCAGGAGTGGTGATAACTTCTCCCGAAGGCAAATCCTTTGAGTATGCACTAAAATTTTCTTTCAAGGCCTCGAACAATGAAGCCGAATATGAAGCAGCAATCGCCGGCCTAGAATTGTGCATCTCCCTGGAAGCCGATCATGTCTGCCTGAAAACAGACTCTCAGCTAGTTGCATATCAGATCAGTGGCAGCTACGAGGCCAAAGAGCCCTCCATGATAGCTTATCTTGCCAAGATCAAATCAGTCATTGCAGAGCTGAAAACTTTTGAGGTTCAGCTGATCCCAAGGGGTCAGAATACTCAAGCCGATGCACTCTCCAAACTTGCCAGTTCGTCTCTTACCGAGCTGAACAGATCTGTATATGTAGAAGTGCGTCGAGAGAGAAGTGTCGACGAAGCACCTGAAGTGTTCTGCGCTGACCCAGAGCCTAGTTGGATGGACCCCATCCTAGCTTTCAAGCTTCGGGGAGAAACTCCCGAAGATAGAGCTTTGGCCTCCAAGATGAAGAGAACCAGCTCTAGGTTCATTGTCTTCAGGGGGGAACTTCTGAAAAAGTCCTTCTCAGCCCCATTGCTGAAATGCGTGGGACCAACAGATGCAGATTATATCCTACGGGAGATTCACCTCGGCATCTGTGGGAACCACATTGGGGGAAGAACCTTAGCCCACAAGGCATTGAGGGCTGGATATTACTGGCCCACCATGATCGCAGATGCTAAGGAGCTGGTTCGGAAATGCGAAAAATGTCAAAAATACGCTCTAGTTATCTATCAGCCAGCAAGGGATCTTCAGCCGATCCTTAATCCACTCCCGTTTGCCCAATGAGGACTTGATATACTGGGACCATTTCCAGAGGCTGTGTACCAGAAAAAATGGCTGATAGTTGGAGTTGACTACTTCAGTAAATGGATCGAGGCCGAAGCAGCCTCGTACATTACAGAGCAAACTGTCAGAAAATTTATCTGGCAGAATATCATCACTCGCTTTGGCATCCCGAGAGTATTTGTCTTCGATCATGGGAGGCAATTTGATAACTTACCGCTGAAGCGGTATACAGATCAGTTCGGCATCAAACTGGCATATTCAGCGGTATGCCACCCGCAAAGTAACGGACAAGCCGAAGCTGCAAATAAACAGATCTTAAATGCCCTCAAGAAGAGGGTGGAAGATCAAAAGTCCAAGTGGTTGGAGGAGCTCCCTGGAACCCTTTGGTCCCTTCGGACAACTGAAAAAGAGGCAACGGTCCATTCACCTTTTGAACTGGTGTATGGTGCCGAAGCCGTCCTTCCAGTGGAAATTGGCTCTGAGAGCCTTCGAGTGCACCACTTCTCGGCTGAGAATGAGCGACTGATGAGGGAATCTCTCGATTTCCTCGACAAAGTAAGAGACTCAGCCCGAGACAGGATGGCCGCTTATAAGCA